ATATCCTGAATTCTTTATCTGACATTCCATCTGCTGCAGCTGTTACCTCTTCTAAAGTTGCGTTGACCTGCATTGCTTGTGGTCCTTTCTTTCCTTGTCTTTTCATACTGCTTGCGTATCTTTCCTGCAGGTGCGGGCGGCGGCTCTGCTCTCTCCTTATTCCAATTGGGGTGTCGTGGCTACCACGCCGGAGGGTCACTGGGCCTGTTCTGGGAGCTGGTGGCGGCTCTGTTCTGCCCCTACTCCAATTGGGGTGACGTGTCTGTCGTACCAGCAGGCCACTGGGCCTGTCCTGCTGGTTGGTCGCAGATCTGCCCACCTTTCGGGCACGAGTGGAGGCTCTGCTTTGCCCCTACTCCAATTGGGGTGTCGTGACTACCCCGCCTGCAGGATGCTGGGTCTGTTCCTGGCAAGGGAGGCGACTCTGCTCTGTCACTACTCCAATTAGGGTGGTATTTGTACCCCGCCGGCAGGCTCCTGGGCCTGATCCGCAGGTCTGTTGTAGGTCTGCCTACCTTGAAGGCGCGGGCGGCGGATCTGCCCTGCCCCTCCTACCACGCCTGCGGACCCCTGGGCCTGATCTGCAGGTTGATCACTGGTCTGCTCACCCTGCGGGCACGGGTGGCGGTTCCGCTCCACCCCCACTCCAATTGGGGTCACGTGACCACCACACCGGCAGGGCCTGATCCGGGCGTGGGATAAGGATCTGCTCTGCCCCTACTCAAGTTGGGGTGACGTGTGTACCACACTGGCAGGCCACTGGGCCTGACCCGCCAGGCTGTCACAGGTCTGTTTACCTTGCAAGCGCGAAGGGCGGCTCTGCCCTGCCCCTCCTACCACGCCCATGTACTACTGGGTCGTGGGTCTGCCCACCTGGCGGGTGTGGGTGGCGGCTCCGCTCCGCCCCCTCTCCAATTGGGGTCACGCGGTCACCACGCTGGCGAGCCGCTGGGCCTGCTCCGGGGGCTGGCGGCGGCCCGGCTCCTTCCCTCTGGCTCGAGGACAAATTGAGGAGACTCGGGTGACTGAGCCTCACCCCCCTTACCAGGAGACCAACTGCTTATGTCACCGCTGGTATTGATGAAGATCTCTCCTCCACCGCTTTCTGCTGACATCAGATCTCTGCCATGTTGGTATCCTATGCGAATGGCAGCATTTCGTTCCCCTTGCCAGGCAACCCAAGCAATGGGTGAGTCCTGACCTGCCCTCAGCAGGACCCGGACCGAGACACAGTTTCCGCGGGCTCCCAGCCCCGGTCCAGGGAAGTTCCGGGAGCCGGAACTCGGCCGCTCCGTGCTCGGTGTAAGCTCCTATAAGTGTAGGCTCCAAGAAGCAGCCCCCGCGGGCTCAGTTCCGGGAGCCGGAATTCGGCCGCCTAGTGTTTGGTGTATGCTCTGATAGTAGCAGGGTCCAAGAAGCAGCCTCCGCGGGCTCCGCAGCCCTGAGCCAGGGCGGTTCCGGGACGGTTCCGGGAGCCGGAACTCGGCCGCTCTGTGCTCGGTGTAAGCTCCTATAAGTGTAAGCTCCAAGAAGCAGTCCCCGCGGGCTCAGTTCCGGGAGCCGGAACTCGGCCTCTTGGTGTTTCGTGTTTGCTCTGATATTAGCAGGGTCCAAGAAGCAGCCTCCGCAGGCTCCGCAGCCCGGAGCCAGGGCGGTTCCGGGACGGCTCCGGGAGCCGGGACTCGGCCGCCCCGCGCTCCGTGTTCACTCCGATAAGATCAGATTTTAAGAAGCCCCCAGGCGCTGAACCCTAGCAATCTGTCTGCAAGCCGCAGGCGAATTGCAGCCTGAAATTACCTGTTCTACGGCTGAATGAGCTGCGGTCAGTCAAAAACAGGTGTGGTGACGTCAGTTTACCAACATGGTGGCTGCTGGCCTCCTCTGTGGTCTGACCGGTGTGGAGAACCGAGATGGACCGCTTCCTTCCCCGTCTCGAACCCAGAATTCAGCCCTGAGTGCGGTGCTTGCGCGTCTGGCAGAAACTGCAGCGCTGTAACCCTGCGTCTCTATCCCAGCGCGCCTTGCAGACTCCAGCCGCGGGGCGATTCGCTGAATAAGCAGTTTTACCCTCCGTGCGACAAACCTCTCGCGTTTGAGTCCCCGTAGCCGATCCTCATGCGATGGAAATCCTTCCTCCAGGTTCCGGCGCACCCCACTATTGCTGGAAATTCCCAACAAGATATCCTTCAGCCGTCCTGACTTGTCACACTCCCACACAGTGAAGCAGCACACGGGGGTAATGCACTCCCCTTGCCGCCATCTTCTCCGGAACTGAGCATTTCTTACAGGCAGGGTTTAGCTCCATTCTAAGTGGGACGTGGAGACACTAATATGACTCCAAGGAAAGCAATCAGAATGAGGAAAGATCTGGAAACAGTGCCCAAGTCTTCATGACCCACAAAGAGACAGGACAGTTGAGTGGCTAGGCTCATGCAGGTGGCTCGACATTGGGGAGAGAGTCAGTTCATGTTTTCCAGTTATGTGCCTGAGCAAGTACTAACTCTAACTCTGTTCTCATCTGGAAAATGGGGCAGGCTTTTGTAATGTCCTGTGAAAATACAGTGTGAAAAATGCACTGGGATCCCTCCTTATCTCTGTCTTCATGCCTGTGATTATTATTATTTTCTAAAAAAAATTTGGCAGTACTAGGGATTAAACCAGGGGTGCTTTAACACTGAACTATGTGCTTCCAGCCCTCTTTATCTTTTGAGAAAGGGTCTCACTTAGTTGCCTAAGCTGGCGTCGAACTTGCAATCCTCCTGCCTCAGCCTCCTGAGCAGCTGGGATTATAGGTGTGCACCACAGCCCTAGCTCATATGATTATTTTTATAATGCTAGTTATATGGAAGTAATTGGAATTGTTTAGTCCACAGGAGAGAAGATTGGAAAAAGGACATGGAAAAGGTTCTGAAGGGCTATTATGTAGCAGAGGGAGCAAAGTTATTTTTAGTTTGACTAAAATATGGCCTTTGCAGGAAGGCACATTTCACATCAATAAAAGACACTTTGTGAAAGAAATGCTCAAGAACAACCAGGCTATCCTGCCAGGTATTGGGGCTCCTTGTCACAGGAATGACTGATGCTGGGTGTCCATAGCACTAGAGTTTGAGGGGAAAGGGCTGCTCCAGGTGGGAGGTTGTTTGGATCAGATGCCTGAGTTCTCTTCCATCTCTATGATGTCAGGAAAATTAGCAAAGGGCTCAGGCTTTGGAGTCCTGAAAAAATGGATGAAACCAGCAACTGCATAGAATAACATCAGAAAAAAATTTTAGGAAGGATCCAATGGGTACAAAATACCAAGCTTATTTGCCTAGAGAAGATAATCCTCAGCATTTTACTCATTATATTAGTTTCCTAGGGCAGAATCACAGACTGGTGACTTAAACAAGAGAAATGAAGTATGTCCTACAGTTCTGGAGGCTGGGAGTTCAAGGTGTCAGCTGTGTTGGTTCCTTCTGAGGCCTCTCTTCCTGTAGATGGCATTTTCTCACAGTACATTTCCATGTTTTTTTCTACTCTTAATACGTCTGTGTCCTTATTTATTTTATCTTTTTGGTACTGGGGATTGAACCTATGGGCTCTTAACCACTGAGCCACATCCCCAGCCCTTTTTATTTTTTATTTGGAGACAGGGTCTCACAAGGTTGCTTAGGACCTTACTAGGTTGCTAAAACTGGCTTTGAACTTGCAATCCTCCTGCCTAAGCCTCCCAAGTCGCCAGGCTTATGGGCATGTGCCACTGTGCTCCATCTAATCTCTTCTTTTTAATTTTTTAAAGGGTGGGTGTTACTGGGGATTTAACCCAGCAGCAATTTACCACTGAGCTACATCACGAGCCCTTTTTATTTTTTAAGTTGAAGCAGGGTCCTTGCTAAGTTGCTTAGGGCCTCAATAAATTATTGAAGCTGTCTTTGAACTTGCAATGTCTTGCCTCAGCCACCTGACCACTAGGATCACAGGCGGGCGCCACCATGCTGGCATAATCTTTTCTTATAAGGACATCAGTCATGGATGAAGGACCACCCCAATGATTTCATTTAACCCCAGTTACCTCTTTAAAGACTGTTTTAAGTATCTTCAGGGGATTAGTTCCAGGATCCCCTTTCAGATGCCAAAATCCATAGATGAATGAGTTCATCATAGAAAATGCAAATATTGAATTTGCATATAATCAATGCACTTTATTTGTTTATTTATTTATTTTTGTGCCAGAGATTTAACTGAGGGGCTTTAACCACTGAGCCATGTCCCTAGCCCTTTTAAAATATCTTATTTAGAGCCAGGACCTCGCTGAGTTGCTTAGGACCTTGCTAAGTTGCTGGCTTTGAACTTGAGATCCTCCTGCCTCAGCCTTCCAAGTCACTGGGATTATAGGCCTGTGCCACCACACCTGGCTCAGTGCATGTTAAGTCATCTCTAGATTGCTTATACTACCTTATACAATGTGGATGCTATGTAAATAGTTATTATACTGTGTTGCATAGATAATAATGACAAGAACAAAAAAGAGTATGTGTTCAATACAGAGACAGTTTTTCCTTTCTGAATATTTTCCATCTGTAATTGGTTAATTTTTGTAGATGTGGAACCCACAGATAAGGAGGTCAATATTCTGAGATATTAGGGTTTTTGTTTTGTTTTTGTACCAGGAGTTGAACCCAGGGACACTTTACTGCTGAGCTACATCTCCAGTCCTTTTATTTTTTATTTTGGGACAGGATCTCACTGAGTTTCTTAGGGCCTGGCTAAGTTGCTGAGGCTGGCCTCAAACTTGGAATCATCCTGCCTAAACTTCCCCAGTTGCTGAGATTGCAGGCATAGGCCACCAAAATCAGCATTCTGAAGTATGGAGTTTGGACTTCCACGTAAGCCTTTGGGGGAGGGGAGATACAGCCCAGCCCATAACACTGAGCGTGGACAAGGGACTTAATCTTTGAGTAGTGGGAATTGTCACCCACATGATTTCTAAACAGTGTCCTGTCTCAATTCCCTTCTCCTAGGTGAGCGTCCCTTTCCCTGCACGTGGCCAGACTGCCTTAAAAAGTTCTCCCGCTCAGACGAGCTGACCCGCCACTACCGGACCCACACTGGGGAAAAGCAGTTCCGCTGTCCACTGTGTGAGAAGCGCTTCATGAGGAGTGACCATCTCACAAAGCACGCCCGGCGTCACACTGAGTTCCACCCCAGCATGATCAAGCGATCGAAAAAGGCGCTGGCCAACCCCTTGTGAGGTGCTACCCATGGCAGCCAGGGAGGGATGGACCCCAGAGGACAAGACAACTCCCAGGACACAGACGGACACATGGAAACAAGCCCCAGAAGAGGCTTGCTGACAGCAGGAGGTCACTGCTCTTTGGTCAATATTCTGATTTTTTCTCTCCCTATATTGTTTTTTAAAAGCACATGGTAGCCTCAGATCAAAGTGAACACTTGTCCCCTTGCAGAGACAACTTGGGAACCGTCTCTGACTGCTGGAGGGAGGCATATGCTTTTGTTTTTTTTTCTCCTTTAGGTTTTTTTTGGGGGGTGGGGGAGGGAGGGGGCAAGGCCAAGACTGGGGTAGAATTTTAAAGATTCACACTGGTGTACATATGTCTGACTGGGTGAGTTGACCTGTGGCACTACACAGCAATTCTCTGGGCCCTTGATGCTTGCTGTCTCTCTGAATTGTTTTCTTACCTTTTAATGTAATGACAAGTGTGCTTCAGTTTGTTTAGCAAAACCACTCTCTTGAATCACGTTAACTTTTGAGATTAAAAAAGAAACTCCATAGCACAGCTGTCTTTATGCAAGCAAGAACACATCTACTCCAGCATGATCCGCCATCTAAAGACTCGAAAACAAAAAAGTTCCTTACAGTCAATGGGTAAGCAAAGTCCGAATTTAATAAGACCAACCTTGGGCAGGTCGCACCAAGTACGGAACTTTTCAGCCTTGCTTTGTATGAATTGTACTTTTTGAACATAAGCTGCACTTTTATTTTCTAATGCAGAGGATGAATAAGTTAAACACATGCTTTGAGGATAGAAGCAGACATTCTGTTTGGCACCATGTTATAATCTGCTTATTTTACAGTATACACGTTTCCCTAAGAAATCATGGCAGCGATGTGAGGGCAGAATATACACAACACATGCTGAAGGAGGAGGGTAGCATTTAAAAAGATACAAAAAAAGAAGAAAAAAAAACAAAGAACCAACAGAATTTTAACTCTATTAACTTGTCCAAATTTTCCTATCCTTTTAGTTAACATCATCTAGCTGTACCATGATGCCACTGAGAGAAAGAACTTTGGACCCTGTTCAGTGTCATTTGAGTGGGTGCTTAACAGTCACTAGGTCTAGAGGGGGGAAAGGTTTGGTGGTCTCCTTCCCATGTTCCTACAAATCTCCCACTATCAGGTGCAAGAGTTATGTAAAAGGAAAGAGAGCTGAAGTATTAAAAAAAAAATTACCCTATACGTAGTGAGTGTCAAGGGAAAATACCACCTTGGTTTCAGAGGAGTCTCTGCTAAATAGTCCCTTTTGGAGAACGCAGGCAAATGAAATGTGTGTGAATGAAATCACATCACTGTACCTTTACATCATTAGCCTCACCACTATATATCTTATATCTAGGTGTCTACAACTGGCCTAAACCACTACATCCATACTATGCCATTTACTGAAAACTTAAGTTTGGCTTTTAATGGCCAGAGAAATAAACTTGAGTTTTCATAGTTAAAAACAAAACAAACAAAAAAAAACAACAAAAAACAAAAAAATAAAAAAAATTAAAAAAAAAATAAACCTCAAATGAGGGGAGTCAGCAGTGATCATGGTGGAAATGTTTACATTTTTTTTTTCTTCAGAAATAACACTCTGGCGATTTTATCTGATATTTAAAACGGGGCGCTATGGTGCACTCTAGTTTATCCATGTGCTATCAAATGTGCTGCGTAGACGCAGTGAGTGAGCTCGGTATTTCACCCAGCACATGCTCGTTCCCGGTTCAGATTCAGGGGTGCTCCTGCGGCGGGCACGGGTCACGGCTGACTCCCACTTCCAATACAACAGCCATCACTAGCACGGTGTTTTTCTGTTTAACCAACGTAGCTGTATTAGTGGTTCTATCAAGAGAACTGCTTTTAACATTAGGGACTGGGAGCAGTCCATGGGCTAAAAAGGAAAGTGTTTTCTCACGAGAAAACACGTCAGGAAAAATAAAGAACACTTTCTACCTCTGTTTCAGATTTTTGAAACGCTTATTTTAAACCAAATTTTAATTTCTGTGTCCAAAATAAGTTTTAAGGACATCTGTTCTTCCATACGAAATAGGTCAGGCTGCCTATTTCTTACTGAGCTCATGGGAAGGCTCTGCTTAGGATACCCAGCACGCGCCTTTGAATGAGTGAGGAGTTTGGGGGTTGCCTAGCAACTTGCTAACTTGTAAAAACTCAGCTTTCCCTAGCAGAAAGAAATGAAGGAAAACAAAGTCAAGCCAGTGAAAGACAATCTTTCTAGTTTCAGGAGTAAATCTATATATGGCTTTCGTCAAGCATTTCGACGGATATAAATGCAGCAACTTGTTTAAAAAAGATGCACAATTTACTTCCCCAAAAAAAAGTTGCTACTTGCCTTTTGAAGTTGTTGACAGACACACATTTGATATTCTCTTATATGTCATAGTAACGTAATGTATAAACTCAAGGCTTTTTATTCTTTGTGATAAATCCTGTTTTACGATGTCACAAAACAGGAACCAGCATTCTAATTAGATTTACTATATCAAGATGTGGTTCAAATAGGACTACTAGAGTTCGTTGAACACTAAAACTATGAAACAATTACTTTTTATATTAAAAAGACCATGGATTTAACTTATGAAAATCCAAATGCAGGATAGTAATTTTTGTTTACTTTTTTAACCAAACTGAATTTTTGAAAGAGTATCGCAGGTGTTAAAAAGAAAGAAAAAGCTGTTTTATCTAACACTGTAAGTAGTTGTCATATTCTGGAAAATTTAATAGTTTTAGAGTTAAGATATCTCCTCTCCTTGGTTAGGGAAGAAGAAAGCCCTTCACCATTGTGGAATGATGCCCTGGCTTTAAGCTCCATATCATGCTTCTTTTGAGAATTATATTTGGTAGTTATAATTACAGAAACAAATTAGCTTCGTCAGTTTGCAGATAGATTTAGCATAGTACTCATCACTTTGAGTAGATAGAGATGTTCTTTCACAACGGATGAATGGTCTGTAACACTGTAAAATACTGATCTCTACAACTGTTTAATCAGTTTTATTTTTGTACAGTATTAGTGACCTAAGTTATTTTGCTGTCCCGTTTTTGTAAATCAAATGAAATTATAAAAGAGGATTCTGACAGTAGGTATTTTGTACATATGTATATATGTTGTCCAAATAAAAGTAATAAATGAAAACGATTGAACTGTCCCTGCCATTATGTGTTATAAAACAGACGCATTTCACCATAATGGAAGTCACTTCGTTAACCACACAGGATTTTTTCATGAATACAAGGTGATGCTACTCTGTCACTTTTGACACATGCTGTATTTGTGTAGACTTGTGTGTATTTACTTTAAAAAAAAAATTTAGAGTATTGTAGTTATACATAATAGTAGGGTTCATTTTGACTTTTTTTGGGTACTGGGGATTGAACTCAGGGGTACTCGATCACTGAGCTACATCCACAGCCCTATTTTGCATTTTATTTAGAGAGATGGTCTCACCGAGTTGCTTAGCGCCTCACCACTGCTGAGGCCAGCTTTGAACTTGCGATCCTCCCGAGCTGGCCATTTTAACATTCATAAATTCATATAAGGTGATTTTCTCAATTTCAATCCCTAATACCATAGCCCTTCCCTCCCCTGTATATGTATTCTTTACAGACATTTCGAGGAGGCAGAGAGAATGGAGGCCACTATTTATATTTTGTGATTAATCACTTAAAGAGGCTTTTCAAGCTTGTAACTCTGTGAAGGTATATCAGGAACTGGTCAAAGGTTTTTGTTTTTGTTTTGTTTGCAATACTGGGGACCGAACCCTGGGGCATATAACCACTTAGCTATTTTTTATTTTGAGACAGGGCCTTGTTAAAGTTGCTGAGGGTCTTGCTAAGTTGCCCAGGCTAGCCTCAAACTTTTGTTCCTCCTGCCTCAGCTTCTCAAGTTGCTGGGATTAATTTAATGCAAAAATAACTGGGTCAAACAGCAGGAGATTATTTTATTATATTGGCTATGTTGTATGAAGACATAAAAATGACTACTAAGGTTCCATCAAAATACATAAAGCAAATATATATGTATGTATATATGTATGTGTACTTACATATATATCTATAGATATACATATACCAGATATTTTTATATCTATATAGATATATAGATATAAATATACACAAAGGATTTTATAAAAATCAGCTTTAACTTCCCTGAAAGAGGGGATTTTTATAAAAATACGTATTTTAAAAATATGCATCAAGGTTGTACAAAAACAATATAAGACTTAAAACAACATATTAAAGCTACACATTCTCTGATCACCAGGCAATAAAGTGAACAATTAACAAAAAAGAATAATTTTTAAAACTAAAAATGCTTTCTTAAAATAATTCTTAGATCAAAGAGAAAAATACAAACTATTGTCAGAGTTTAAAACAGAAAAAAACTATATTCAAAATATGCCCTAAAGCCAGAATAGAGAAAAACTCAGAGCCTCATGTTTTTCTACATTCTTATGAATATGAAAAAATAAAAGTAAGCCAAGCAATGACTTCAAGAAGCCACAAAATGAACAAATCCAGAAAGAGCATGAAGAAATTTTTAGAAAATGGGACTGACATACAAACCTAAGAAGTAGAACTTTGAAAAGACCTATAAAATAGACACTGTCTTGTTAAAGCCAAACAAGAAAATGAGAAATTTAAATACGTGCTATTATGAATGAAGAGAGTTATAACCATAGGTACAATAGGCTAATAATTTTGGACACCTTAATAAAATGACTCCTGGGAGAACAATTTTGATAACTAAAACAGTTGTATAGACTAAAAATCTTTTTAAAAAGTTGACAAATAGCCAGGCCTGGTGGCTCACACCTGTAATTTCAGCAACTCAGGAGGCTGAGGCAGGAGGATCACAAGTTCAAAGCTAGCTCAGCAACTCAGCAAGACCCTGTCTCTAGATAAAATATTTTAAAAGGGCTGGGGATGTGCCAATATTTTCTTCATTTTAAACTGAAATGTTAGAATGTGGTAGGAGGTTAGTTTAACTCTGATTTACAAGAGAATAACTAGAAAAATATATAAATTAAAAAGCTATCCCCCCTCTTGATATGTATCCAAAAATCTAACATTAGCATAGTATAGAGACACAACCTCATCAACGTTTAGCAGCACAATTCACAATAGACAAACTATGGAACCAGCCTAGGTACTCATCAATAATCAAATGGATAAAGAAAGGTGGTATATATGCACAACAGAGTTTTACTCAGCCATAAAGAAGAATGATATTATGGCATTTGCTGGCAAATGGATGGAAATGAAGAGCATCATGCTAAGTGAAATAAGCCAGACTCAGAAAGTCATGGGTTGAATGTTTTCTTTCTCTCATATGTGGAAGCTAGGCCAAAATAATGGGGGGGGAAAGGAGCAGGGGATATCCTATGAAAACAGAAGAGAGATCAGTGGAGTAGAGGAAGGGAACTGAGGGAGAGGGAGGAGAGACAGGAAAAGGGAGGAGTGGTGGAATGAATCCAATCAAATTTTCCTATGTACATATATTAAGATACCACAGTGAATTTTTGCCTTTATGTGTGTCCATAATGCACTGATTTTAAAAAACTATAAATAAACAGAAGAATAATCACTAGAGAAAAGGGAACAGGAATGAGGTACGAGGGGAGGGAAAGAAGAAACACTGGGGACTGAACTGAAGCAAATTACATTTCATGTTTGTATAATTATGAGAAAATGAACCCCAATATTCTGTATATCTATAATGAACTCATAAAATTGGGAGAGAAAAAAAAAAGCAATGTGGGGAAATTTGCTTTCCAGAAATTATTAGTCCATTTTGAAGACATAAAAATGTGTGAGAATTTTTATGTTCTAGAAGAGTAACATCACAAATCAATCGGGAAAGCATCTGTGATCTAATAAAAGATTATCTAGAAAAAAATCAATACTATATACCAAAACAAATCCTACACGCATATAAGATATAAGTAAGCAGAATTCAGTGGTGCACTCCTGTAATACCAGTGGCTCTGGAGGCTGAAGCAGGAGGATGGCAAGTTCAAAGCCATCTTCAGCAAAAGCGAGGTGCTAAGCAACTCAGTGAGACTCTGTATTTAATATTATAAAATACTAAACGGGGCTGGGGATGTGGCTCTGGTCGAGTGCCTCTGAGTTCAATCCCCACTATCCACCCCACCAAAAAAAAAAAAAAAGAAGATATAAGTAAAACAATAAAAACATTTAAAGAAAATATGGGTGAAGATACATAATTCATAATTTGGGGAAGAACTCAAATATACACACCAAATTTTGTCTATGGTTGTTTTGTTTGCTTTTAGGGACATTTTGCACAACAGACATTTTCCAAAATGACAAAGAAACATGTTATATTTAGTGTAAAAAAATATATAGTGTTGATCCATTTTAAAACATACAGGGCTGGGGATGTGGCTCAAGCGGTAGCGCGCTCGCCTGGCATGCGTGCAGCCCGGGTTTGATCCTCAGCACCACATACAAACGATGTTGTGTTTGCCAAAAACTAAAAATAAATATTAAAAAAATTCTCTCTTTCTCTCTCTCTTTAAAAAAAATATATATGTGCTTTTTTTTTTTTAAAGGCTAGAAGGATTTCAAGGATCTTTCACAAGAATGTTAGCCATTATTGTCTTGATGCATAAGTGGAGGGATAATTTTTAATTTGTTCATTATCTGTATTGTGCTAAAGTTTCTGCAAAATGAATGTAGACTGTATTTGTAAAAAATGGTAAAGAGAAAGGAAATTCCGAGTCCACCTGAATGCTATCTATTAATAGTGGAATAAAACATCTAGCTTTTGTGTGAGGGCTAACTTGTTACATGGTCTGAAGGCTTAATTAAACCAGGTTTGCTAATCATCTACCTCTGGACTGGTGTCCCACTACAGGTAGACTGGCCAGCAGGACACACCCAGAAGTCAGTCTGGGTTGATTTGAGGTGTCTGCTATGGCTGCTCCCTAGCAGAGCCACAGATTCTTAAGTTCTCTCATCAGTTCTCTGGTGCAGGTAGCCTCTGTTGACCTTGGCATTGAAATACTTGCTTCTCCTGTTACAACTCCACCCCAAAAGTTGAGCGCAGCCTTTTCTCCTGTCCGTCATAGTGAACTCAGTTCATCCTAGGTCAAGTCACTATATTTAGGGTTTTGTTGAAAATACTGACCTATGTTCCAATGTAGCTGAGTACCAGTTCTAGGCATCCAGCTAAGTCTACCTAATATCTCTGAGGCTGTTTCCTCTTCTTTGAAAAGAAAAGTGTGTATGTAATATCTCATAGCATCCTTAAGACTAGTAAACCAACAAGCTATATAAACCTGGTGAAGCACTGGGTTTTCAACAAATTCTGCTCTTTTCATCTCTTATTCTTAGAGTAAACGTGGCCCTCAATTAATAATGAGTTACAACCCCTTTTCTCCCTTTTGAGTGAGTCCAGTGTTCTTACATTTTTTTTGACCCAGGATTGAATCCAGGGTCACTTAACCACCAAGCCACATCCCCAGCCTTATCTATCTATCTATCTATCTATCTATCTATCTATCTATCTATCTATCTGACACAGGGTAAAGTGCTGGCTTTGAATTTGCAATTCTCCTGCCTTGGCCTTCCAAATCACTGGGATTACAGGCCTGTGCCACCGTGCCCAGCTTTGTGTATGGAAATGAGCTGGAGGCGGAGAGAGGTTGGTGTCTGCAAATTATGGTCCTGGGTCAAATCTGATCAAGTCTGTTTCTGTAGGGCCAGGGAGCTGAGATTGATCTTTACAATATTAGATGGTTGAAGAAATGAAATAGTAGAGTTATATGTCAAATACATGAAGAAAATATAAAATTCAGATGTCAGTATTCATAAAGTTTTACTCACTCATACATTTACATATCATCTATGGGTACAGTCACACTACAAGGACAGGTGACCAATTGTGACAGGGACTATAGTGCCCTTTATAGAAAGTTTGCAACCTCGGCTATCTATTTCTTAGGTATTTCTTGAAGGTCAACCTAAAAGTAAGGTGTTGTTCGTTCAACTGCATTTTTAAATTAAACAAAATAATGTCACTTGAAGGCTTTTTTTGGTGGTGGTGGGGTACTGGGGATTGAATCCAGTTTCACTGAGTTATATTCTCAGCTATTCTTATTGTTTGTTTGTTTG